TTAGTTTTCCAACCGCTGATGCACAAACAATAGTAATAACAATAAATAGCGCCAACATATACAGAAATGAATCTTCGAACCTGAAAACTCCTTGGCGATTTTTGCGACGTTGAATTTTGGAAAGCTAAACTCATAGGCGCATAAACTCATGCATGAGATTTAAGTTTTCGAGTTTTTCCGAACACTGCTTCTGTGACAACTGGAATATGACAACACTTAACAATGGTGAAGTAACACGTTTGGCTGGTCCATCCTCGAATGGAAGTAAATTAGACCTCACACTTTGCTCTAACTCATTATCGTTGGATTGCACGTGGAATGTGATCCAGGATCCCCACGGTAGTGATCAATTGCCGATCAAAGTTTCAGTTGCCAGTGGGTTCAATCCGTCGGAACCCGTTAACGTCACGTACGATATTACCCGTAATATCGATTGGACAAAGTTCAAGAATGTGATAGTAGATGCCCTAACGTCGGTAGAAGGGCTTCCACCGTTGGAGGAATATAACTTCCTCTCCAATCTGATCTTGAACAGCGCGCTTCAAGCTCAAACTCGGCCGGTTCCAGGAACGTCTTTTCGTAGGAAACCTCCTTCCCCTTGGTGGGACCAGCAATGCACTGAGGTTTATCGTAAAAAGTCCGACGCGTTTAAGCTTTTCCGGAAACGTGGAACACCCGTACATTTCGAAGCGTACTCGGCTCTTGAACGCGAACTCAAGAGCCTCATCAAAGCCAAGAAACGCGGATACTGGCGGCAATTCGTGGACGGATTATCGCACAAAACGTCGATAAATACGCTTTGGAACGCGGCGCGAAGGATGCGTAACCGGTCTTCGAACAACGAGAGCGATGAGTACTCAGATCGTTGGATTCTCAAGTTCGCGCGATGATTCACAGATGATTCCTCGTGAAACGACGAATTCGGTAGACGAGATCAACCAGCCGTTTTCAATGCTGGAGCTCTCAATTGCGCTCCTTTCGTGTGGCAATTTGGCTCCGGGGGCTGATAGGATCAAGTTCAACTTGTTGAAAACCCTCCCAGACGTCGCTAAGAGGCGCATGTTGAACTTGTTTTGTCAGTTCCTGGAGCTCAATATTGTTCCAGATGATTGGAGGCGAGTGAGAGTAATAGCCATTAAAAAACCTGGGAAACCCGCGTCAGATCATAACCCGTATCATCCCATTGCGATGTTATCGTGCATTCAAAAATGGTTGGAGAAAATGATCCTTTTTCGCCTGGACAAATGGGTTGAGACGAACCACCTACTTTCAGATACTGAGTTTGGTTTCCGTACACGGTTAGAAAAAAGTACCCAAAATTAAGTTCTTTTCACTCATCTCGGCACTATAGTGCAGGAACCCAAAAGTAGGTAAAGCGGGTCAAAGTAATTTTCATTTACTTGTGTGCAGTTTGTATGGAATTTTCCACTGGCTTTTTAACCAAAAGTAAGTTAGTTGTACCCAACAGTAGGTAAATATGATTATACTCAACGTTGGGTTCCCACACTTTACTACCCCTGTTGGGTGGTTTTGCCCCTCCGTTTTTGACAACATTAGAAGGAGAAAAGGAGACAAACTAGTCAAAAGTAGGTAAAAGTAAACTGGCCGTTGGGTACTTTTTTCTTACCGTGTAGGGGCAAGGGAACGAAGACTGTCTCGCGTTGCTTTCCTCGGAAATTCAGTTAGCATTTGCTAAGAAAGAGCAAATGGCTTCTGTGTTCTTGGATATCAAGGGGGCTTTTGATTCAGTATCCGTTGAAGTTCTTTCAGAGAAACTCCACGCTTGTGGATTGTCTCCATTAATGAATAATTTTTTGTACAATTTGCTGTCAGAGAAACATATGAGCTTTTCTCATGGAAACTCTACAGCTTTACGATTGAGCTACATGGGTCTTCCCCAGGGCTCATGTTTAAGCCCCCTTTTGTATAATTTCTACGTCAGAGAAATTGATAATTGTCTTAGTGATAACTGCACGATGAGACAGCTTGCAGATGACGGCGTAGTGTCTATGACAGGGCCCAAAGGAGTCAACCTGCAAGGACCTTACAGGATACCTTAAACAATTTGTCTACTTGGGCTATTCAGCTAGGTATCGAATTCTCCACGGAGAAAACTGAGTTGGTCGTTTTTTCTAGGAAGTATAGCCCAGCACAACCAAAGCTTCAACTTTTGGGTAAGCCAATCACTCATTCTATGTCCTTCAAATATCTTGGGGTCTGGTTCGATTCCAAATGCACCTGGAGATCCCACATTGAGTATCTGAGACGAAAATGCCAACAAATGATCCATTTTCTCTGAACAATTACCGGAACGTGGTAGGGAGCTCATCCGCAAAATCTTCTAACCTTGTACCGGACAACGATTTTATCGGTTTTAGAATACGGTAGTTTTTGTTTCCAGTCGGCGGCTAAAATTCACATCATCAAACTGGAACGTATCCAGTATCGTTGTCTTCGTATCGCGTTAGGATGCATGCACTTGACTCATACGATGAGTCTTGAAGTGTTGGCTGGCATGTTGCCACTCTCTGATCGGTTTTCGGAATTGTCCCTCAGGCTCCTCACCCGTTGTGAAGTTATGAACCCACTGGTAATCAAAAACTTTGAGAAGCTTCTTGAGCTAAACCCTCAAACTCGTTTTATGTCATTGTACTACGGGTACATAACAATGGATGTCAGCCCGTCACAGCATAATCCTCATCGTGTATGCTTCTGCGACTTCGGCAATTCAGTTAGTTTTGATTTATCCATGACGCGGGAGATTCGTGGGATCCCAGAACATCATCGTTCCATGATTGTTCCGTCAATTTACGCTGCAAAGTTTGGCCAAGTTGATTCCGCAAGATCGTTCTTCACAGATGGATCACTAATAGAGTCGTCCGCTGGTTTTGGTATTTTTAACGAATTTCATAGCGCCTCTCGAATGCTTCAAGCTCCTTGTTCCGTAGATGTTGCTGAACTGGCGGCAATACATTATACGCTAGAAACGATCGCCTCACTTGCACCAGATCATTATTTTATTTTTACGGATAGTCTCAGTTCTGTCGAGGCTATTCGCTCTATGAGGCCGGTAAAGCACTCCTCGTATTTTCTCATGAAAATACGAGAGCTTTTAAGTGCTTTATCTTTAAGATCTTTTGTCATCACCTTTGCATGGGTCCCATCTCATTGCTCGATTCCGGGCAATGAGATGGCTGACTCACTTGCCTAAGGTGGGCGCTATGGAAGGCGATATTTACGATCGACAAATCGCCTACGATGAATTTTTCTTCATTTATCGTCAACAGTCACTCGTCAGCTGGCAAAATAAATGGAGTGAAGGGAGTTTGGGACGATGGCTATATTCGATCATCCCTAAGGTGTCGAAGAGTTCTTGGTTCAAGGGGTTGGATGTGGGTCGAGACTTCATTCGTATGATGTCTCGCCTCATGTCCAATCACTATTCGTTAAACGCTCACTTGTTCCGTGTTGGGCTGAAGGACAGCAATCTCTGTGAATGTGGACAAGGTTAGCAGGACGCAGATCACATTATTTGGTCTTGTGCTGAGCATCGCGGAGTCAGATTCGAGTTGTATGATTCCCTTCGGGCTCGAGGTAGACAACCTAATGTTCCAGTTCGGGATGTTTTGGCTAGGCGCGATCTAGAGTTTATGAAACTCATATATGTTTACTTTAAGACTTAACCTTAGATTGTAAGTTTGATTAACCTTGTGTTTAGTTTGTATTTTGTACGTGTGGGTTTTTTTTCAATGTTTGTTTTCAAGATGAATAGAAATAATTTCATGCTTTAGGATTAATTAAATAGTTGTATCGTAAACCACATTTCAAACCTCCTTCTTCCCTTTTCCCATCCAACAAATTGTAAATCTCCACTAACCTCGAGACAACCGCGAGTACTCGGTCCAGTTCCTTTAACTTTAAATATAAGACAGTAATGATGTATAACGCAAAGGATAACTCGGATCTTTAAAGTTTATTCGACAAATAAAGTAATTATTAAAAAAATAGATCAGCTGAGTCAATGCGTGACATGAATTGGCTTAGATTTTCTCGTTGAATCTTACATTTGGCTGGCAATCAACTAAATACGATTTAATCCAGGTGAGGAGCTTCATCTGAATTCCCATTTTTTCTAATTTAAAAATCAGCATTGGGATATCCATTCTGTCAAACGCTTTGCTGAACTCCGTATATAGAGCTTCTACTTGGTTTCATCTCTCCATTGCATTTAATATGAAGTCCACAAAAGGTTTGTGGTGGTTGAACGGCCTTTAAAAAAGCCGTGTTGTTATTCTTTGTTTTATTTGGCCAAAATCGTTTTTATTTATAATTGATTCGAAGAGTTTTGGAATGCATGAAATGATAGCATAGTGACATATTAAACAGCCAGAATAAAGGCTCACAACCCCTCAATTTTTCATCAAAATGGGTGGGCTTCCAGCTGGTCCTGAATCATTAGTGGCGTCCAAATCTCGTAGGCCATTCCAAATACCATGAACCGCTGGTCTTGAACCTGAAATGGTCCATTTGATCGATCCGATCAAATCAACGAGGTCACCAGAAAGTATCGCTGGAGTAGTTAGAATCATAACAGGAAACATTTGCGGAAATTTAATAATTAAGCTGTATTTATCATCCGCAGAGTACATTAGCGCATGGTTCCATTCAAGGAAGAAAATCAATACCTTGACCAGATGTTATGATGCATATCGTGTATGAAATATTTTAACAGATTTGAAAAATATTCATCATCCCACGGAGGCACCACAAAGAAGGCCTTTTTTTGAACCATTCGCAGCTTGTTCCGCCATGCCATGACACCCCTACTCAGGCACACATACACACCTGCTGACGAGGAGGTGGCAAACAAACACCGCCGTTGATGTCGCTGAATGTGGTGACGACGCCAACCAACGAACGACGCGACGCTTCTAGCGATTCGCGAAAAACGCTGCTCGAGCACAGAACAACCAGCCAAGCAAGCAAGCAAGCAAAAGCAACCAAAGCAGAGCGAATTAAATAACAGTGAACTGGTCGGGCAGCGTTTCATTAGTACACGAACCGTCAATCCGAAAACAAGTGCCATTCTTCTCCTCTCACGTCGCGGACTCCGTATCCATCCGTCCGGTTTGAATCAAAGTCCATCCACGCCCCCACACCCAACCTAGGACCTAGGAGCTGGAAGTTCATCATCAAAGTGAAGCAGTGCGGTCGCCCAGTGAGTGTGTTTGTAGAAACTTGGAACTTCAAGCGAAGTTAGTGGAAACGAAGAAGTTCTTTGGCATGGTTTCAGCTGTTTGCAACTGTTTTCATTTGGTGCACGTTTTGTGAGAAGAAAGTCACTACGAACTCTGTGAATACCGAACCAGTTAGTAGTTTAAGTGAACATCGACGTTAGTAGAATTTAAGTTTATTGTTTGAGACGTTTCTGTTCTGTTAAAACGAGGGCTTTGAAACAACGGATTGAGTAGCACTGATCAGGAAATCTACATTCTTCAGATTGGGGATCAAACAAACGGTGGAAGTAGCTGGACGAAAAATTGCAAATTTGCGGAGTTTGGCCGAAAATTGTAGGATCGGAAAATTCTAACTTCTCATCGAAACTCAGAAGGTAAGAGTCCATGTGGAGACGCTTCGTCTTTTATGTGTAACAATGTTAACCGTTTCTGCATGATACCATTCGTTCATTACTAAGAGGCTAACTATGAACATTACGCATTTTTCTCAACTGATCATCTCAAATCATAAAAAAAAAAAAATCGAGAAAAAAATTCGTCCTGCTTTGGAATGCGGAAAAGAAGGACGAGCCGTTGTTATTGATTTATCTAGCAACCGAATGTCTAGGATACCTGGCTTGACAGAGGGTTGTACGAAATAGGAAAAAAAAAACAATGTTTGGAGGCTCGACTCGAATTGTGGTGCTAGAGTGCGAATTCCCCAATGTGCCCATGTTTTTTGTTTGTTTGTGGGGAAGATGGAAAGCACGCTAGGTGCGAGAGGAATGAGGTGAGAGTGGATTTCGCTCGCGGATTCAAACATAACAGCATTAAAACGGAAAAGCATGGAGGATATCCTGCGATGAATAATTTTCCACATTGCTATACTGACTGCTATTTAGCTGCTGGTTGATAACGGTGTGATTGTGTGTATTGTCTATGTAAATATAGTTACATTGATATTTGTGTGATTGTTCCTTGGGATGGGTTAATGGCAAGGATTGACCATGTAGTTTCGTAATTCATTGGATATTGATGGAGTGAAGCATGTTATTGAAATAATTCAAATCAATTTCACGATTCAAAAAAGATGAGTTATGCTCTTGATCCGTGATTTAAATTAAACTACAGTCACCCCAGACTAATGGGTCACCCACAATTATGGATCACTTTTATTTGATTAACACTCTGAATACGATGCTTCTGAAAAGCGTGTAACGGCAAGTTTGCAATGCCATAACATAGCCATTTCTTTATGAATTTAAAAAATGGTGGTTCCTTTTTGAATTCCTAAGGTCTGAAGATTATTTTGATCGTGAAAAAAATTGAAAAAAATCGTCTACTTTTTTAAGGGAAAGAGTCGTTACACGTTTTTATTAAAGGTCAATGCATGGAATTGATCCTAAACATTAGGAACTGTGATATAAGAAATAATTTGGAGTCGTGACATAAACATGGCCGAGGGACCATCCTCCGGAAGATCCGAAATATCCGTAAAAGTGGTCCATGCATGAAACTGACCATAGAGCAGCTCTACAGGTTTTTTCTAAAACACGTGGAACTGTGATATAAGAAGGAAATTGGGGTCGTGACATAAACATAGACCCGGATGGCCATGGGACTGCCCTTTGGAAGATCCGGAGCATCCGTAAAAATGGTTAATCCATGAAGCTGATCCTTGAGCTCCAGTTTTTTAACGCTTGGAACTGTGTTATAAGAAAGAATTTGGGGTTATGACATAAATATAGACTTGGTTGGTTATAGGTTTTTTTTTTTTTTTTTTAATCTTTATTTTAGAGATTTTTAGCCTGAGGCTAGTTCATCTCTTAGGTTGGTTATAGGACCATCTTCCGGAAGATCCGAAACATCCGTAAAAGTGGTCCATCTATGAAACTGATCCTAGAGCGTTTTTTTTTTCGAAAACATTTGGAACTGTGATATATGAATGAATTTGGGGTTGTGACATAAACATGGACCAGGATGGCTATGGGACCGTTCTCCGGGATATCCGGATATACGGGATATAGATGTTCCATATGAGTTATAATTCCGTGAAACTGCTACTAGAGCTCCGTGTTTTTTTGTAATCGTCTTCTAAATGCTTACATTTTTCCCTCTACCAACACATCCGTGAGGGCTAGATCTCCACACCACCAGGTTGCACGAATACAACTGTATTGCTAAATGTGCACGGACACACATACTCAGTTAAAGTTAGCTGTTTCAATTCAAGATTTCTGACTAAGCTTCAGCCATTTTGAAATCCTCAGCTGATGCTTAACACTTTGTTTACAAAATGTCGAGTTTGTAAAAATATTGAACAAAAACTACGGAGTCCTAGGATCAGTTTCATGGATTGACCACTTTTACGGATGTTTCTGATTTTTCGAAGAACGGCCCCATGGCCCCATTCTGGCGCATGAAAAGGCAAAGCCTGAAAATTGCACCACAAAGGTGCATGGTGAAACAAACTTCACTTACAATTTTTGGTGCACCGTTCTGGTGAATGGAGGAGCATGCTTTATTGAACATTTCTGGTGCATAATTTGCATCGCTATGATAAATGAAATGAACAGAAAATTTCTGATGGAAAAACTACAACGTTTTGGTGAATGGACGGACAACCTAAACTGGACCTCCGAGAAGAACCTCAAGGGTATTGAATTCTGAGGACAGTTCCAAAAGAAAATATTTCTGGGGATGATTCCATGAAAATTCCGCGAATAATTTCTTGTGAATCCTACAGTTTCAAGATAATTTCGAATATAATACCGAGAGAATCAAATTTTGAATGAAATTTCAAAGGGTTTCAAGAGAATTCCGAGGATAATTTCAAGCTCATTCTGGGAAGAATTTTTGGAGAATACAGAGTAAATTCTTCTGAAACTTTAGGGAAATTTCAGCTCCAAGGTGTTTTGAGAAAAAAAAAGTTCGAAAATATTCCGAGACGATATTGAATTCTTAAAGCAGTTCCATCATATTTCTGGGGAGAGTTCAAAGAAAATTCTGCGGATCGTTTTTAGTGCAGAGATAATTTTTAAAATAATAACGAAGATAATTTTAAAAATAATAACGAAAAAATCAAATTTTGAGTAAAATTCCAAAGGGATTTTAAGCAAAATTTCAAGCGAATTTCGAGGATTATTTGTAGCTCATTACGGAAAAAATTTCTGAAGGAATTTCTGTTTCAAGGTGTTCTGAGAAAAAAAATCATTAAGAGTAGAACTCCAGTATAATTCCAGTGAACTTCTGAAATGAATTTCAAAAGAGCTCTTAGGAGAGTTCTAAAAAAATCTGAGAAGAACCTCAAGCATATTGAATGCTGAGGACAGTTTCAAAGCATTTCTGGAGAGTATTCCAAGAAAATTCTTTGAACTTCTAGCGAATCCTGCAGAAAGTTCCAAGATAATTCCGAAAAGAATACCGAGAAAATCAAATTGTGAGCAAAATTCCAAAGGGATTTTGAGGAAAATTTAAAGGGAGTACCGATAATTTCTAGCTCATTCCGGGAATTATTTCTGGATAATACAGAGGTAATTCTTTTGAAACTCTAAGGGAATTTCAGTTCCAAGGTGTTCTGAGTAAAAGTCAAGAAGAGTTCTAAAAATAATTCAAGAGAACTTCTTAGAAAAATTTCAAAAGAGCTCATAAAGTTCATAAAATTTCGAAAAGAACCTCAAGGAATTCTGAGGATTGACTTTTTTGCAACTGTACAAAGTTAAGAGACAGCTTTTGGATTCCCTAATTGAAAAGTGGGTATTAGTGTGCCATTTAACCTTGGTTTATTGTTGTCTTACTAAGAATTCGTCTAAGAATCTTCTCTGAAAATCTCAAGACATTTGTTACCGTGGTTAAAAAGTTACAGCTGTTTATTCCATTGGCTGTCTGAGTTGCATTAAAGAAGAACCATCACCGGAGCCAAAAATAGATAAAACAGTATCATCCACCACGCACTTTGGAGTACTCCCTATCCCCAGACTAAATGCACCATAGAAGAAAATATTGCCCCTCCTTAACAAGATTCCTGTGCACGCTAGTGGTGAAATCATTGATATTATTGATTTTTTTTCTGATCGATAGAACGGAAATAGGCGATTACGACGAAGTAGCGCTCTACCCTAATTAGTAAGCACTTCCGAAATCACTCGTCCGCAGCAGAATAAATCCTCATCGTCCTTATACCTTCGACATTTTTTGGGATGCTCATGGACGATGCAGACCATTATATATTTAATTTATGATAAATATTTCAAGATATTCTTCGTTAATTACTTTATGCAACACAATTCACAAACGTGTAACTTTTTAAAAAAGTACAGGAAGTGATATATCAAACTATAATGCAAAACATTACGTTTTGAGCTTAACAATGATTAACAGAAAATAAGCTTAAATTTGAGTTCATATATTTTTACTCAATCGATGAATGAGAATTAAATTTTCTGATTCTTGAGTTTTTTTTTTAAACTTAAAATTGTGTATTTTTTTATGCTATTATATAGAAGGAAGGTTGTGATAGTGTGGATTAGGTAATTTTTGATCTGGATTCACTGTGGAAAGTGATGCAAAAGCAGATTTGTTTTGTTTTATTATTTAATTCTAATGGGGATAGAGAATTAGGCAAAGTGTCAAATACGAGTAAAGGGACGGGCCTGGGATTGAACTCCCGACCCTCTGCTTAGTAAGCAGAAACGTTAACCACTAAGTTACCGAGCCTCGTCACATACCCTACTGACAGGCAATTTAGTCCAAGAAGTAAGTTCAATGAAAAATCCACCGTACTTCAACGGCGTTTTTAACATTATCCAGCGCGTAATTTTCGCGACGGGTAATTTGTCAGGTACATGGAGTTTGCGTGCATATCTGTGATTTTTTTAATAGCTTTCCTGAATATTGGAACATGCCCTGTTGGATGGGCGAGCGTGCAACTTTGTGTTGATTTTCTGCTAAAGATACCGTAATAGTTTGTCCAGTGCAAGAAAGATTAAGTGTAGGAGGTTTGTGTTTTGCGTGGACTGTTTACTGAGGTCACTCGATCTCTCACGCAATGTAGCTTATTCTTGTGCACAGTTGACAGTTGACACGTTCTCATGACATTTAGCCGGTTTTGAAGCAATTTAGCTGAAGATTGAATATTGAGTGGCATTCACGGTGAGCGTGACATTATTTCAATCGTACCTCAATCAGATTAATTCTCTTCAGGTTAATTTATTAATCGTCACAAATCAGTGCCGCCATAAAATTATATCAAGCCTTCTTGGAGAATTGCGTGACGTGTGCTAATTGTAGGGAAACGAAAATATTTTCCCCATCCCGCTGCTCCCCCACAAATTCCTGTCAACAGCTTCTTACATTAGGACTTAATGAGATCGTTTCATTTCTCTTCCAACAAACC